TGGATTTTATCAAGGCATTTAATTAGGTTCCCCATGGTAGGCTCATTTAGAAAGTAAGGAGGCATGGAATTCAGGGAAATTTGGCTTTCTGGATACAGAATTGGCTGTCCACTAGAAGACAGAGGGTCGTAGTAGACAGAAAGTATTCAGCCTGGAGTTCAGTGACCAGTGGTGTTCTGCAGGGATCTATTCTGGGATCTCTGCTCTTTGTGATCTTTATAAATGACTTGGATGAGGTTTTGGAAGGGCGATTTATTAAGTTTGCCAATGACACAAAGGTTAGTGGAGTTGTGGATAGTGTGGAGAGCTGTTGAAGGTTGCAACGGATGCAGAGCTGGGCAAAGAAGTGGCAGACGGAATTCAAACCAGAGAAGTGTGAAGTGATTCATTTTGGATGGTTGAATTTGAATGTAGAATACAGAGTTATTGGCAGGATTCTTGGCAGTGTGGAGGAACTGAGGGATCTTGGGGTCCACGTCGATAGATCCCTCAAAGTTGCCACCCAAGTTGATAGGGTTGTAAATAAGATGTATGGTGTGTTGGCTTTCATTGACAGGGGGATTGAGTTTAAGAGCCGCGAAGTTATGCTGCAGCTGTATAAAACCCTGGTTAGACCACACTTGGAATATTGTGTTCAGTTCTGGTCACCTCATTTTCGGAGGAAGGATGTGAAAGCTTTAGAGAGGGTGCAGAGGAGATTTAGCAGGATGCTGCCTGGAATGGAGGGCAGGTCTTATGAGAAAAGATTGACGGCACTAGGGCTTTTCTCATTGAAGTGAAGAAGGATGAGAGGTGACTTGACAGAGTTGTACAAGATGATGAGAGGTATACATAGAGTAGATAGCCAGAGACTTTTTCCCAGGGCAAAAATGACTATCATGAGGGGGCATAATTTTAAGGTGATTGGAGGAAGCTATAGGGGACATTTCAGAGGTAGGTTCTTTACACAGTGTGTGGTGGGTGCATGGAATGCACTGCCAGCGGTGGTATTAGAGTCAGATTCATTAGGGACATTTAAGTGACTCTTAGATAGGCACATGGATGATATTAAAATTAAGGGTATGCAGGTTAGTTTTGATCTTAGAATAGGATAATAGGTTGGCACAACATCATGGGCCAAAGGGCCTGTACTATGCTGTACTGTTCTATGTTCTATGATATATCAGGTAGGGCCTGCCTGCCTTTCAACTGCCAGGCAACTCTTTGGTCTTATTGTCCGCCATTGTACCTGTTCTTTATGAGTCTCAAGCCATAGGCTTATTAAGCTGGGTCAGTGACCAACTGTAGTGTCCGCCAAAATCAGAGCACATTGTAAAAATGAGGCCTTGAGCCATCTACCACTCCGAAAGTTTCGAGATCATGTGGAGGAGAGACCAAATCGAGACAATCAACCAAGGACTTTTTATAAGGAGGAGTCCTTACCTCCAGGGGCCGGCATAGGTCTGTTATCTGGGATTTAGTCCTTTTATTCCTCCAGCAATCCTGCCGACTACACCAAACTGTAGGATCTCATAATTTCTTAGTGAGAGTCCAAGTCCAGTGGTTGGTTCAGTCAACCTTTATTGAGACACAACTTTGTTACAGTTTCAGATCTTCATTGCGAAAAGGTGTGCAAACAGTTTAACTATTGATAGTAACTTTAATTTACTTACCCCAACAGAGATTCTGCCACCCTCAGCAATTTCAATGTACAATAATTTGCAAGATGAGGAAGAATTTGTTCAGACAGAGGGTGGTTACTCTGTGGAGCTCGTTGCCACAGAGAGCTATGGAGGCCAAGTCATTGAGTGTATTTAAAACAGAGATTGATAGGTTCTTGCCTGGAAAGGGGATCAAAGATTATGGAGAGAAGGCAGGAGAATGGGAAAATGGAAAATGGCAGAGCTGACTCCATGGGCCAAATGGCCTACTTTTGATCCTATATCTTATGGTTTTACAGCTCCCCAACAGCACAAGCAAATATCCCTGCAAGGAGATTGCTAGGTCCCATTCAGGTTCAGGAATAGTTTGTATAGGTCCCACTTCTCCCAAAAATGGTCCCAATATTGCAGAAATCTGAAGAACTCTCTCCTGTACCAGTTCTCCAGCCACATATCAATACCTATAGATTTACAAAAATAGCATCCCAAGATTGTTCAGGAAGAAAAAAATAGGAAATTTTTCTTAAACCTACCAAGGTGGTCATAAATCCAGGAGTCACTGAGATCATGACATGCATGCCCACTGCCCCATCTAAGTTTTAGCTATATCAATAGCATGTAAAGAATACATCCATTCCCTATTAATGAGTTGGGATCAATCTGAACTTTCCATATGCACATCACATCTCCTCTAAACCTTCTGTCCCTTACCTTAAATCTATGCAATCTAGTTATTGATCTCTCCATCAATGGGAAAAGTTTCTTACTGTCTATCCTGTCTATGCTCCTAATAATTTTATACATTTCAATCACGATTCTGCTCTAAGGAAAACTCCACTGCCAAGGCAACATCCTGGTAAATCTCCTCTGCACCTCTCCAGTGTGCCGCATCCATCCTATAACATAAATTCTAGAACTGCACACATTACCCTAGCTGCGGCCTAACCAACATTTTATACAGTCCTAGCACAACATCTGTGCCTCTGCTAAAAAAAGCAAGTGTAAGTGTTTCTGGCCTCCACTACATTCCCAGGCAGTGCATTCCAAATTCCCACCACTCGCTGAGTGAAAAAGTTGATCATTCCCAAATGCCCTCTGACCAGTGTACAAGCACAACAAGATCCCTCTAATCTTCAGTGCTTCCTTGGGTCCTACTGTTCATCATGCATCCCCTTGCCTTTTTAGTCCTGCCAAAGTGCTTTACCTCACATTTATCCAGATTGAATTCCATTTTCCACTGATCAATCCATTTGACCAGCCGACCAAATTAAATGGTATATTAAAGTTATGTGTCATTGATACAGAGTTGTTCGTTAAGATCACTTTCAGCTTTTTAAAGGATCCCTGACATTCAGCTGACCATACCATCTCCCTCTGTTTTTGTAGCAGGTTGTTTACAGGTATGACTGTTGTACAGAAATTAGATACAAATCTCCAATAAAATCTGCACTTTCCCAAAAGCCTCATTCTTTCTCATTTTGTTTTGGTGGGTGACATCAATCAAAGTTCTTCCTTTTACTGTTCTGGTGATACTTCTTCTTGCCCTAGAATATGCCCTAAAAACATCACTTTTGGTTTTGCAAAATTAACGTTTTGCTAAATTTAGCACCAACCTGGCTGATTGCAATTATTGAAACAAATTTTCTAACTGTTCTAAATGTTCCTTCCATGTGTTAGTATATACTACAATATCACACAGTCAATTTTAGTTGTTAAGTCCCCAAGATACTAATGAAATGCGTAAGAACTTCTTACATAATGTTTGATCAGAGTGTACTTTCATTGGTAGACCAGAACAAATGAAAAAGTATATTCATTTTTCCACTACTACCTGAGCTCTGATTCTCCGTAGAGGAATTGCCCCTGGACAAAGAGTGTTCATATCCATAATTGTAAGAATATATTCATTTTCAGCTTTTCATTCAGGTGACATTCCTACACAGTGCACTAACATATGACTGAACGGTTCCTCAAAAACTGGTATGGGAAACAGGGAGAGGGAGTAGGAACTGCAGATGCTGGAGAATCTGAGATAACAAGGTGCAGAGCTGGATGAACACAGCAGGCCAAGCAACATCAGAGGAGCAGGAAAGCTGACGTTTCGGGCCTAGACCCTTCTTCCTGTTGTGTTCATCCAGCTCTGCACCTTGTTATCATGGGAATCAGGGATGCTGGTTTCATTGCACGTTGGGATTTACCTACAATTGGTTAAGTATGGCACGTCTTACAAAACTGCATAACATCTTTATGCAATTTTGACCATGTGAGATACCTGTTTATGGACACCTGAGTCATTCAGATCCACACGTCATGCCATTGGAATTTCATGTGCTTCTCACAGTATTTCTTTATAATAGCTGGGCAGTACAAAAGTGATGAACAATAGTGATGGCCTCCACAATGTCTGTGATGACATTAATTTATTAATAGTTAATCCATACTAATAGGCTTTTTGCCACTCAGTAGTGAGAATGTTATCTCACCATTAAACATTTGGTGGAAAAAGAGACTACTTGCTATCAACAAAAAAAAGCTTCTTACTGCCAATCTCACGCAATTTTCCAAACTTTCTCACCAACACCCACATCATTCAGTGGCTGGGAAAATTTAGCCCTGTGAATAAATTTTGCAGTTGTACACCTTTATAACTGATTCAATTTCACAAAACATTTCAAAGTTTCAAGCACAACAGAACATAGATCTGAAAGTAGGATGTTGCCTGGTATGGAGGGCGCTAGCTATGGAGAGAGGTTGAGTAGATTAGAATTATTTATATTAGAAAGACGGAGGTTGAGGGGGGACCTGATTGAGGTCTACAAAATCATGAGAGGTATAGACAGGGTGGATAGCAAGAAGCTTTTCCCCAGAGGGGGGGACTCAATTACTAGGGGTCACGATTTCAAGGTGAGAGGGGAAAAGTTTAAGGGAGATATGTGTGGAAAGTTCTTTACGCAGAGGGTGATGGGTGCCTGGATCGCGTTGCCAGTGGAGGTGGTAGAGGCAGGCACGATAGCGTCATTTAAGATATATCTAGACAGATACATGAATGGGCAGGGAGCAGAGGGATACAGATCCTTGGAAAATAGACGAAGGTTTAGATAGAGGATCTGGATCGGCACAGGCTTGGAGGGCCGAAGGGCCTGTTCCTTTGCTGTAATTTTCTTTGTTCTTTGTTCTTTGTAGTATGAAACTTCTTTAAGAAATCTCCTGTGCATTCAATTGTTATCAAGTCATGAATATTATTAGGTTCTCCAGGTTTATTTTGATTGTCCCATGGACAACATTTTGACTGTAATAGATCTATACTGTTATAGAATCTTAGTCTTGTACTGACTTGTTATTTTTCTACTTTACCTGCAGTTCCTCCAGTTGTTAGAGTGTATCCAGAAAGTCAAACTCGTGAACCAGGGGTGACTGCTAGTCTCAGGTGTCATGCTGAAGGCATTCCAAATCCTTTGATTAGTTGGTTGAAAAATGGTGTTGACATTATGACGAAACTATCAAAACAGCTAACCTTGCAAGGTAATATGTTATTTGTATCTATGACTAAACTGCACAGCTGCTTCAACATAAGCCAATATGCAAAATATTTCATTGTTTGATTCATTGAATAAATCATTTTTGTCTGGTGCTTCTAACTGAAATCCACAGCGCAATTTAATGTTCATTAAGAAAATATAAAAGTTTGCACTATGTATGTTGATCCAAGAGAACCAAGACACAGTTTCAATTTTGGACAAACCAACGAGAAAAATCCCTAAGCCATCTGGCAGGCTGCTCTGGTTTTCTAGTTGGATATTTGCCGTCTTTCTTGTCCATTGATAAGGCATATGTAATAATTTTAGGCTTGGCTTGGTTAGTTAACTTGAAGGCCTTGCAGAAAGAAATGAGCAGGGCCTCCACTCCAAAATAAGTACCTTGGCAACAAAGACCTACTGCCAGGATCTAATATTTGTGTCCCAGCCATGTATATGTCTGTGCCTACAGCAGGTCTTCAGATGAACACTTTGTATAAAAAATAAATTAACTGCATAATGAAACAAAATAGGTTGTTGTGAGATTTTCCAGTACAGATTGAAGTGTGGGGGTTGGCATGTTAGGTCGTCATTAAAACCTAACCGGCAAGCATTGCAAAGTTTCTTGACAAATCACTGGTTTCAAGACAGATATCGTAGGTCACCAGAAGATGCCAGCAGCCTCTAAGTCCTAAGGACCAACAGTTGAGGCTGTGGTGTTATTTCAATGACAACAAGAGAAAAACACATTCCTGAAGAAATTCACTCGCACTAGTCTTTGACTTGGGATAAGCATTTCTGGCATCATGCTGTTATTTGGGAGGTTGACTCATTCAATTCGGTTGTCGAAGACAGGGCCAAGTATGTGGAAAGAATATGCTTTTTTTCTGGGCAAATGACATTGGGACAGATGAAAAGCAATGGGTAATTTGCCTGAAAGCTTGTGGACCCACAGCTTTTTTGGTTATTAGGAGCCTACCTTTCCCTGAGGCACCAGATTCTAAAACCTTTCAAGAATTGACTGATTTGGTTTAGGAATATTATGACCGCAAACCTCTTCTAATTGTTTGACAGTTTTACTCAGCAATTCAAGAACCAGAGAAATCAGGATTTTTGACTAGGTTAATCATCATCATCTTCAAGAATCCCTACAGTGTGGAAACAGCCCTTCAGCCCAACAAGTCCACACCGATTCTCAGAGCCTCCCACCCAGACCCATCCCCCTATAACGCACCTAATCTAGGCATCCCTGAATACTACGGGCAATTTAGCATGGCCAATCCAGCTAGCCTGCACATCTTTGGACTGTGGGAGGAAACCCACACAGACACGGGGAGAACGTGCAAAATCCACACAGTCGCCTGAGGCTGAAATCGAACCCAGGCCCCTGGTGCTGTGAGGCAGCAGTGCTAACCACTGAGCCACCGTGCCGCCCCAAAGATAACAGGCAGAGGCATGTGACTTTGGTTTAACCTTTAATGAGATGCTGAGAGACTGTTTGGTAAGTGGGATTAATAATGTAACCATGCAAAAGCACCTCATAGCTGTAGCCCAACTGCACCTTCAACAGGCATTACAACTGGCTTTGTCACTAGAAAATGTGGCAAGTGGAGCTTATAAGTTACAGAGTATGCCGTTGGAAGTGATCACCCTCACCAGGCCGACTGAGCTTGGGAACATCACTTGAGTGCAGGCAATTGCACAGCTTCACTTAGGACATATCTTGAATGGAGGTATTCTAAGTCAGCCCACAGCAAAGCCCCAAAACAAAGTCAAGCCTCAGCCAAACAGTTAAAATTTTCTTCAGGATCTGGGCCAGCAAGCTGGTATGCGGACAGAGACAGTAAAAGAATCCCACTCAACTTAAATTGAGTGAGAGAACATTAGGCTGGTATCCAGGAGGGTGTACACGTTGGAAAGTCCATCTACATCTGGTTTGGAACAGTTAAAATGCTTAGCAACATCCAAATCAAAATCAATTGAAATAAATGCCTGTTTAAGTGGTCACTCCGTTATAATGGAGGTCGATACCGGCATGGCCATTTCAGTGATCGCAACACAAGTCTTTAACAAAATTCACCCTGGACTCCAACCCTTAAGTTTGTGCAAGACCTTAGAGAGACTAAGAACCTATACCAGGGAACTTTTGCAGATTAAGGGTACAACTTTGATTCTGGTCTCTTATGAGAAGCAACTGGTTCACTTACCACTGATTGTAGTAAAAGGTTTGGGCCAAAGCTTGATGGGGCAAAATTGGTTGAGAAAGATTCACCTAGATTGGCTCCACATTTTTTGATTAAAAATAGCTGCCTGAGTGAAGTCCTAGTGAAATACCCAGAAGTTTTTCAGGAAGGCCTAGGGACCGTGAAAGGAGCCACGGCTATCTTGCATGTTGACCAAGAAGCAATTTCATGATACTGCAAGGCCTGCCCAGTGGTATATGCAAAAGTAGAGGCAGAAGTCAGAAGGCTGGAAAGCAAATGAATTATCACACAAGTCCAGTTCATGGAATGGGCAACATTGATCATACTGATTATGAAGTCCAATGGGTCGATTCACCTTTGTGGAGATTTTAAACAAACCAAAAGCCACATTTTACAGCTGGATAAATAACCAATCTCTTGCATAGAGTATTTATACGCAAAGTTGGCAGGGGGGCTGTGCTTCACGAAGCTGGACATGAGCGATGTGTACTTGCAATTATGGTTAGATCAGGATTCACAGAAGTATACAATGAAGACCATATTGGTTTGTACCAATATTTGAAACTGCCATTTGGGGTCTTGTCGGCCTGTGGAATTTTTCAGTGGACGAAAGAGAACAGTTTACAAGGTCTACCACAGGTCACCATTTATCCGGATGGCTTGCTAATAACAGAGAAGACCAATAAGCAGCACCTAGAGAACTTGGACATAGCCCTTACACATTTCTTCAGAGTGGCCAGAAGGAAAACTGTGTGTTACAGGCACCCCAAGTGACCTACTTGGGCTACAGAGTCGACAAGACCAGGTTACGCCTGTTGAAAGATAAGGTGAGGACAATCAAAGATGCCCCAGCTGCCATGTCAGTACTAGAGCTTCAGTTTTCCCTTGGGCTGCTGAATCATTATGGAAAGTTCATACATAACCTGGCTTCCACCCTGGCACCTTTGCATCAACTCTTAAAAAAATGGTCGGCCTTACAAGCAGTCACTTGTCCAATCCATAGCTTTCAGGGAAGTGAGGAAACAGCTATCATCCTCTAAAGCGTTGGCACACTATGATTCCAAATGAGATCTGGTATTGACATGCAATTCCTCCCCCCTCCCATATGGCATCGGGGTAGTATTATTAGGTGGTCCAATGGTGAGGAATGCCCAATAGCGTATGCATCCAGGATTTTGGCTAATGCAGAGTGTAATAGAGAAGGAAGGTTTGGTGATCATACTTGGGGTCAGGAAGTTCTGCCAATACCTTTATGGATGTAACTTTGTAATAATAATGGACCACAAACTCCTACTAGGTCTACTTCAAGAGGATAAGGCAGTACTGTCCATAACTTCAGGCAAAATTCATTGGTAGGCTCTAATAATAAGTGTGTTTAATTACAAGTTGGAACACCATCCACGAGACCAAATAGCAAATGCAGATGCATTGGGACACCTCCTGCTGACAGATCCTCCACAATGGTTTTTAATTTTCTAGAGACACTTCCAGTCTCAGCTGACAATATCAGATTTTGGACACAGAAAGATCCGGTTCTGGCAAAACTAAAACAGCTGGTGGTGTTGGGAGAAACAAAAGGACCATCACAATCAGAACTGAAATGTGTTTGTACTCAAAGAGACTAGATCATAGTAGAGAACAGCATGTTATTATGGGGAGCAAGAGTGATTGTCCTGAGCAAAGGTCATCGCCAGATACTGGCTGAACTCCATTGGGTCATCCAGGGGTTTCCAAAATGAAGATGTTGGCACGGAGTTATGCCTAGTGGCCAGGATTGGATGCAGACTTAGCTGCATTGGTGGGTCAGTGCCCAGAGTGCCAACAAGGATAAGAAATACTGCCAGCAGTTCCCCCACATTCTTGGGAATGGCCCAGTAAACCCTACCATTGGTCATACGGTGACTACACAGGTCCTATCATGGGCTCAAAGTTCTTAGTCATTGTGAACATCCACTCAGAGTGGCTGGACATGCATAGTGTTAATTCACAAAACATGGGGACTATGATAGAAAAACTGCATGCATGTTTTGCAATATATGGACTCTTGGAAGATAACAGGCCATTGTTTACCAGCAGGGAATTTGAGTATTTCCTGAAGTCGAATGATATTCGACATATAAGGACAGTTCCATACCAGCCATCATCGAATGGTCTGGCAGAAAGACCAGTCCAAACTTTGAAGTTAGGCTCAAAGAAATGCCTGACAAACTCACAGATGCCAAACTGTTTTGGTTCCTATTTGAATATCTGACCAGCCCTCATGCAACTACAGGGATAGCTCCAGCAAAGTTGCTAATGGAGAGAAGACTCTGCACCAGGTTCAATCTGATCATTCCAGACCAGGAGGTGGGGGTAGAATGGATGGAATCAGGTACACTGACAGATATAAACAGGAGTGTCAGAGGTTCTGCTCACTCTGAGAGCTGGCTCTGTAGAAGCTAGATCAGTGTCAAGGATTCTTCACACATAAATAAAGAGTGACTTGGTGACAGGATACCAGCCTCTGTGGAGTTATTTCAGAGGCTTATTCCTCAGGGGATCCAGTGGTGACAGGATAAGTAATCCTTATACACTTCTGGAGTGAGGGACATGGGGAGAGGAGATGGGGAGGGGTCAGAGGCAAGGGTAGATAAGTGGCTTTCAGAGGTCTTTATCTTGTTCCCTCCACCAATGTGTGCATCAAATTGCCCCCGAAATGAAGCAAAGAGAGAGACCCCCAAGCCATCTTGCAGGTTGCTCTGGTTTCCTAGTCAGGATACTAGCCACCTTTCCTGCCTGCCATGAAGCTTGGCTCAATAGATTG